TGGCGCCACCCGAAGGGGCCCTGGCGAAGCAGGGCGGTGCGAGCCAGGCAGCGCGAGCCGGAACCACGGCTCTGGCCTTCTTCAGCTCCAGCGTCAACCCAGTGCTCTACCTCTTCACCGCGGGGGATCTGCTGCCCCGCGCGGGTCCCCGCTTCCTCACGCGGCTGTTTGAGGGCTCTGGGGAGGCCCGAGGAGGCGGCCGCTCCAGGGAGGGGACCATGGAGCTCCGAACTACCCCTCGGCTCAGAGTGGTGGGGCTGGGCCTGGGCAACGGAGACCCGGGGGGCGGGGCGGCCAAGGACAGTCAGGAATGGGGCCCTTGACACCAAATCCTGCTCTTCCCTGTCCCCTTCCATCACCCCTCAGAACTCAGAGAGCACTCGGGAGCGTTTGGGCAGCCTCTGACCAGTTGGATCTGTGGGGGCAGAATTATGCACCTGGGGCAGGCCCAGGTTCCTCCAAACTGAGGGATTGCCAGGGGTGATGGTTCATGCTAATGAATATTGTGCACTTGCAGGTTGGCATGTGCCATGTGCCAGAGCTGTTAATTTGTTGCCAATAATCATTGTGAAAGACCCCGTGCAGCCGTTACACCATGGCTTACGTGTGCTCTCCCGAGGGTCAGCGTGCCTGAGGTGTACTGAAGCCACCCGGGTCCCTGCGGGGTCAGGCCATGGCTGGGCAGCGGCAGCCTTCAGTGGCATCTTGAGCCGTCCTCCCCAGCTCGGGGGGCCTACTTCCCTCAGGCCATACAACCACTCTGTAAATCAAGGGAGAAAGAGGAAAGCAAGGTATGGGTGCTTGGGTGTGGGGTGCGGATGGGATCCGTTCTCTGGGGTCTATAAGAGCCAAGAAGGGGGTGGGGGAGGGGAGACTGGCCCTGGAAGGTGAAAGTCAATCTGTGGGTTTGAAAGGAGAGTTTTCCTCTCTGCCTTGTGGTTGGTGCAGCGGGGGAGGGGCCCTGGGAGTCTGAGACTTAGCTTCCTCTTTGAATCCAACTCCCCCCCTCCGTCCCCCCGCCCCCCAAAGGTCACCTGACTCAAAAGGAGCCCAGGAGCAGGCACTCACTTAGCCAGAGGACGCTTGGGGCTGGGAGATGAGGGAGTATGAGGAAGAGTGTGGGTGTCTGGAGGACAGGAAGAATTTTTCAGGGAGGTACCACTTCTCCTTTCTCCTTTTTCTCTCTGCCAAATCTTGACTCCTCCTGACTGCTAGCTGTTCCTCATCTGTCCTCCCCGATATTTCCCAGATCCCGTCTTTTGGAATTTCTTTACCTCTAGGCCTCAAAACTGTTCTGGATCCTGAGTTTGGGGTGCAGGATGGAATTCTTTTTAGGGGACATCCACGTGCACACACATGTGGTTACTAGGGTGACCAACCGCGGTTTTAGCAGTGGAAGCCTTTTATCCCGGTCTCCTAAGTCCCTGGCAAACCAAGACGGTTGTTAAGTTCTGGTCAACCTGACTGTTACCCCATGTTCTGCCTTAGTGACTGTTCACACCACCCAGGTAGATGCAGACATAGCAAAGGAAACCCAGTTCTCAGGGTCACGCCAGGGCCACCAAAACGGGTTGGGTTGGGGTTGGAGCTCTGGACTTGGGGGACAGGTATGCTTAGAGTGTCTAGTCTAGGGTGGAAGAAGGAAGGTCACTGACAGAATGGAAATGGAGAGCAGCTTGGGAGAGGAGGCAAAGACAGTCCAGTTTGTGTCAGAAGGATCCTCTGATTGGCCCCAGAGCTTCCTGCAGAGGCTTCCTCTTGTCCTCACGCATGGGGGAAGAGGGTCCCTAACTTCCTCTGTTACATATTTCCCGACTCACACACCCTCTGTGGTCAGAAAGCCCTTCCTCCACTCTGCCCGCTTGCTGTGGTTTCAGTCCATTTCTTTTCGTCATATCCTCCGCCTGACAGCTACTGGGTGAACTCTGCTCTGGCTTTTCTCAAAGCAGACAAAGTGGGGGCACTGCAAAGGGTGAGGAACTTCCGTGACCACTATTACACTCCGCACATTTCCTGAGAGTGACAGAGTTGGAAGGGAAGCAGGAAGGCTCATGGTCAGATCGAAGGAAAGACTTTTCAGTTCTTAGCTTCTGCAGGAGAGTTCAAGAAGAGGAGAAAAGGGAAGAGTGACCCTTGCCATGGCCCTGGTTTCCCCTCTTGGCAGGGCAGGCATGAAGCACCTTCTCCCTCACTCCCTCATGCCTGTTCCCTATGCTCAGCCTCTACTTCTATATGGTGGGACTGGACAGTTGGCTGTGGGGAGGTAGGAAAAAGGCAGTGCTGACCTTGCCCAGTGCCCAGATCTTAAATCCAAACTCATGTGTCAGGGTAGCCACATGGGCAAGCACAAGGCAAATGGTTGGGGGAAGGGGAAGAAACTGGCATTCTGTGTGATACCAAGGAGACCCTTTGGGCTTTGGCTTCTACCAAGAGAAGGGAAATTTGATTGCCCTAGAATGGAACCAACCCTTTTCAGTGAAGGGAGCGATTGGGGTGCTGGAAGAGGGACTTCTCCCTCCAATTCCACTCATGGCTTGAACCCAAGCCAAGAACAAGGTGCTGACCTCTTTAAGTCGTGATGTTACAACCCAAACCTGGAACCTAACCACAGCTGTAACCTACATTTCCTATTACTCTAAAAATCTACTTGTTCATACAAATTACCGTATAAATATACTCAACATTCTGCCGTCCCAATCCAAGCCAAATCCCCTTTCTGGCTTCCCTCCCTCCTCCTCCTATATGACACATGTTATTATTCTGTTCAATGATCCAGTCTAGACCTGCATATGAGGCCACACCCCAGCCTACTCACTCCTGCACCCCTCTTTCCCCTCTCCCTTCCCATTCTTGGGCGCTTCTCATCTGGTCCCACCCCTGAGGGTCCTCCTTCCTACTGGCCTTTTCTAGAATACAAAGACTATCCTCCCTCCTACTGAAGGGAAGGGAGGGGGCAGGAGTTTCAGCCCCACCCTCAGGAAGATGTGTCTTCCCCCTGCCCTGTGGTACTTCCTCTCCGGCTGACTTAGCTGACAGTATCCAGACCTGGGTCCAGACCCCTGGCACCGAGACAGATCTGGGGATAGGCTACACCACTCTGCCCTGATCCTGGGATTGGCGCCAGCTTCCAACCAGTACCCAGCAAAGCCAGTAAGTAAGGACCCTGGGAGTAGGGGATTTGGTGGAGGGCTGGGGTGCAGCCATGAGAGAAGGTACAAAGGAATTTCCAAAAGAGCCTGACCAGTGGTAAAAGGACTTGGGAGGATTTGTCCTTCTCTCCTCTCCATGAACTCCTGCCCATCCCTATTATTCCTGGTGGACCCTGGGCATCTCTGGGAGAGTGGGTAGGGGATTGGAGGACACCAGTGGGACTGAGGGGACTAAGGACTTGGCAAGGGACAGAGCAGTTAGCCTTTTAAGGGGTGCAGCACTGAGAAGGAAATCTCCCCAGTTTGGCTCTGAATCTGAGGGTCTCCTAAGGGAAAGAGGCAGAAAGGGTCCAGACATGCTACTGCTGCTGTTGCTTTGTATTTTGCAATTGGGTCTGTGGGCAGGAAGGAGCTCTGTGGCTCAGTTAGGCAATTTGTCTTTCTACTCAGCCAGATCCCTTAAGATAGGTTAGTGGGCAGTGATGAGGACAGTATATTGTGAAGGTGCACCTGATGCTGCTGATTTAGAGAAAGACTTGAACTCGGGCTAGGTGTGTCCAGGGTGTCAGAAAACCCTTGGATCCCTACCCTCATGCACATGTCCACCTCACCCTCCAGATCCTTGCAATGGCCACGAACACTACATCTCCTGCAGGACCCTCCTCCCTAGGTGTCATGGCTATCACCCTACTGTCAGTGGCTCTGGCAGTGGGGGTCCCTGGCAACAGTTTTGTGGTGTGGAGCATCCTGGTAAAGATGCGAAAGCGCTCTGTCACTGCCCTGCTGGTGCTGAACTTAGCCCTGGCTGACCTGGCCGTCTTGCTCACTGCCCCCTTTTTCCTCCACTCCGTGGCCCGAGGCACCTGGATTTTTGGAGTGGCTGGCTGCCGCCTGTTCCACTATGTCTGCGGAGTCAGCATGTATGCCAGCGTCCTGCTGATCACGGCCATGAGTCTGGACCGCTCGCTGGCGGTGGCCCGCCCCTTTGTGTCCCAGAAGCTGCGCACCAAGGCGGTTGCCAGGTGGTTGCTGGCAATCATCTGGGCGGCGTCGGTCCTGCTGGCCACGCCCGTCATCGTATACCGCACCGTGGCACAGGTCCCGAACAACAGGAGCCTAATCTGCTTCCCGAAATACGACACGGAAAGACACCGGGCCTTCCACCTGCTCTTCGAGGCCCTCACCGGCTTCCTGCTGCCTTTCCTGGCCGTGGTGGCCAGCTACTCCGACATCGGGCGCAGGCTGCGGGCCCGGCGCTTCCGCCGCAGCCGCCGCACGGGCCGCCTGGTGGTGCTTATCATCCTGACCTTCGCGGCTTTCTGGCTGCCCTACCACATGGTGAACCTGGCCGAGGCCGGCCGCGCGCTGGCGGGCAAGGCCGCGGGGAAGGGGCCCGTGGGGCAGCGGCTGCTCCTGGCCCGCCATGTGCTCATCGCGCTGGCCTTCCTGAGCAGCAGCGTGAACCCCGTGCTGTACGCGTGCGCCGGAGGCGGCCTGCTGCGCTTGGCCGGTGTGGGCTTCATCGCCAAGCTGTTGGAAGGCACCGGCTCCGAGATGTCCAGTACCCGACGCGGGGGCACCCTGGGCCAGACGGCGAGGGGCGCCCCCGCCCCCAGTGAGCCTGGCCCGGCTGAGAGCCTCACTGCCTCCACCAACCCTCTCGAGTGAAGCAGGCCCCGGGGAGGGGTGGTGGTGGAAGGACACTTGCTTTCCTCCTGGCGGAATGCCCCACGCTGGCCTGACCCAATTCTGCACCTCCAGGAGAAGGCGTGTCGGGGTGGAGCGGAAGAGGGAGGGGAGGGGCAAGTAGGGGCAGAGTCAGCGCCTGGGCAGCTTTGCAATTAAAACCGAAGTCTGAAATTGGGTTAACCCTGTGTGTGGGACATGTGTATAATGGGGGATAGGTATCTTTCTGGGGGTCGGTCTCGATAGTGGAGAGGCACATCCTTTAGTTTCCCATGATTTTCAATTTTGAAAGGGACACGAAGACAGATAGACATTACCCTCCTCAACCACCACTTCCCCCATTGGGACACAGGTGGCTTGCAGATCACACTTCGAACAACACAGGTTTGCAGACTCCTGAAAGAGCTGACCAGGGAAGACCACCATGTGGACTCACCACTCCAGACTTCGATTCAGCCTACTTTCTGAGAAAATTCAGCGCTGCCTGTACTCTGATGCTAGTGATAGTTATCTTTGTTAGCATGACTCCAACTTCCTGCTTACTAACCTTCATCCTCTCAGTGGTAGGTATTCAAGGGGATTGCCTTCCTTCCCTCCAAGTCCCAAGAAGGCCTCACTTGAGAAACCAAGTCAGCAGATCTTATCTCCTAGATTTCACATCAGCATTTCGCTGGTCCCCAAAACACACTCTGGCACAGGGTGGGGCTGAGGGTTCTCTGTGACTGTGGTCACCCTTAGGAAATGAAGATGCCCCAAAATGAAAGGGATGAGTCATTCTTTTCTAGGGATAAATGTTGTCTTAGAGCCCCTATTCTGATAGCATTTTAGGAAGATGGTAGCAGCAGTGGTAGTGGTGTACTTTTTTAATCTTTCCCATAAAAAAAACACCCCCCCACACACACAAAAAGAAAGAGCAATTAGGAAAAATATAAAAAATCCATGTGCAACATCTGCAACAAAGCCTCATGGACCCCAAAATATGAGCAGTTGGGAATGAACCATTGATGCTTCAAGACCCACATAATATTAGCAGAAAGGAGCAAGGGGGCATCTAAGGGGCCTGAGAACAGGAGAACCCCAAACTGTCTACAAATCCTCACTGGAAAACATCGTGGGTCAATTTTAGAACAGCAGCTGACATTGGGAGAGACCTAATAGATTATTTCCAAGTCCTCTTACCCATGCTGCATAGTAAGCACATCATAAAAAGTGTCTGTTTAGTGTTGAATGAATAAAGGTCAAATGACATTTTCCCTGGAGATTCCTTCCAATATTTGTGGGTGGAGAGCAGGAAAAGACAAATCCTTGTGTTGAGTTATGTGGCTAAAATTCTTCATACTTCCAAGGTTTATAAAATACTGGAATCAGGTTGGCAGGCAGGCAGGGAGGCTGAGGCAGTTCTCTTCCCGAACTTGTGAAAAGAAACACACCCTCCATACATTCATGCTCATGCTTGCACACACACAAACACTCACTTCGGCCTGGGAAAAAGCAGTCCTGCTGAGAAGTAAGGAGGTGATCCCAGAAGCCATATCAGCAGCTTCTGGCATAAATTGGCTCCAGTCATACCAGTCTCTTTATCGAGGACTTTTGAGGTGAAGAGTAGGGAGTGGGGTCTCAGCCTAGGGCAGCTGAGGGAGGTCCAACTCTTATCAAATCTGTGTTGAGGAAGTAGGTACACAGCTGCCCTTTGCCTTTGACCTTGATAACACCCCTGCTGTAGCAGGTGTAGCCTAAGGACTGCAGGGCCCGGGCTGTCTCCTCAGTCACCTGCAATTGGAGGAAGGTGAGGGAGTATGGAGATGGCCCCAACTTTAACCACTGCCCCCATGACTCCAATGTGGCTCCCTCACTTGTATCTTGCCCAGGACTCCTGTACTCTCCATGCGACTGGCCACATTCACCGTGTTGCCCCAGATGTCATATTGTGGTTTCTGGGCTCCTATCACTCCGGCCACTACAGGTCCATGGTTTAGCCCTGACAAGAGACAAAGATGGGGGAAATATGGGGAGGGATAGAGGAAGAAAGAGCTTAAGGAACTAGGGAGAAGGGCCTGGGGGCCTTAGAAGAAAGGAGTGTGGGGCTGGAGGTGGGCTTAGGGAAGGGAGTGGGAGTGCCTCGTAGCTCCTGGCCCAGCAGCTTCATGCTCCATCTCAAAAGGTGAGTCTGGAGGGAGGTCCAGGGCTGACCTGGAAAGCAGCTTACCAAAAATTTGGGGGAGGGAGAGCTTGGGAAGATGTGGAGGAGGTCCCAGACTGACCCAGCAAGGGAAGGCCCTTACCCACACGCAAGCGGAAGTTGTTGAATGAGTGCTTGTTGATAACGTCCAGCTTAGACCCAAGGGCCACTGCAAATTCCACCATGGTGCCGAGGTGGCTGCAGCTTCGCTCAGCATCCTGGCAATGGGATGGCCACCAGAATGAGCCAATGAGAGCCCAGGATTAAGGCCCATTCACAGACCCACCAATAAGAGCACAGGTGAGGGATGGTAGGTAAGGAAGGAATGCTGTACCTGCTGTGCATCCTGTCCAGAGGTGGCATTTAAGCCTGTAGCTGCCATGTAGGTGCTGCCGATGGTTTTGATTTTCTCCACCCCACTGAACTTGGGCTTAGAGAGCAGCTGTATAGAGAGGAGGCTGTGTCCCCATTCTCTCTTGCTTTCCCACTCCTCTCTCCCCAAAGCCCAGCCCCAGGCTAAAGGACCGGTTATGGGATTAGGAATGGTGGCAGGAGGCAGAGTGAGCAGAGTTGCTGGAGAAGGCAGAGCTGAGGCATCAGAGGAGGAGTGGGAAGGCTAGAGAGGGCAGAAGGGGCTTATGGCCAGAAGAGCAAAGTAGAAGGATGGACTGGTAGGACATTCTAGAACTCTGGACATAGGATCTGGGGAACCCTCAGAGTTGTCACCTCATCAAAATCAGCAATGATCTCATTGAGCAGCCGCAGACACTCTAGCCCCTCGTGGTTGATGTTGGATTCAGAGTAAAACTCCTTGAAGTCTGGGACTGAGGCGAAGAGGACACAGACACACTCATAGGACTGGTGGTAGAGGTCCTGGGAGGGTGAGAGGCTGGGGTGAGGCTGTAGGCCACATTCTTCCCCTTCCTGTCCTGGTGTCCCCATGCCTTCCCCTCTGTGTAAGAAGGATTGGGGAGGAGGGGAAGGAGGAAAGCCAGGTTACCCTAGGGATGTCACTTCTAGAACTGGGATCATGCCAATGGGAATTATCTTTATATCCTTTCTATTGCTGAAAGTTGTTAAGTAAGTTAAATCAGCTTATAAAGATCTACAATTTGCAAAATCACATAAATAAATAATAGGGAAAATGAGGCCAAGAGAAAATAAGGGTAAGATTGTAAAGATGGAATCAGATCTGAGGTTGGTTCACTATATGAGTGCCATTTTATTTCTATATTCTGGCTTTTGAGCTTTCTAGAGCCAATATGAACACAGAAACAGGATCAGTTACAAGATACCCAGATCCTATAACAGAAGAAACCAGAAGTAGAGCTACTTCTGATCTTGAGAGCAGAGAGCAGGTGGTGGGGACATAAGGCTGTGAAATAGTCCCTGAACTGTTTCTTTCAACACCCCTTGATACAGCCAAGAGCATTTCCATAGCACAGAATGGGGGTGGTGGTGCTACAAAGAAGGTGGTACAAATATGTGGGTAACCTTCTGATGGTCTGACTGTAGAAAGATATTTGAGGATCTAGAGCAGCGTCATCCAATAGAAATTTCTGTGGTGATGGAAATGTTCTGTGTATGTGTTGTCCAATATGGTGGCCACTAGCCACATGCAGCTGTTGAATACACGAAATAAGACCAGTGTGACTGAGGAACTGAATTTTCTCCCTCTCTTTCTCTTTCTCTCTTTTTTAAGATACAGGTTTACTTACAAGACTTGAAAATTATACAGCCCGGAGGAGGCCACACAGCGAGGTCATGGGTGGAGAGAGAGAGAGAGAGAGAGAGAGAGAGAGACAGTGCCCATGGACCTGGGCCTGGGATTCTGCTTTCAATTGGGGTTAAGAGTGGGAGCCTGGGGTTTCTCAGGCCCACTTTTTAAAAAATTTGTCAATTACAGTTGACATTCAATATTATTTTATACTAGAGGCCTCGTGCATGGATTCGATCCCTCCCAACTGCCAAACATCAGTTTGTTCTCTACCAGTATATCTATGAGTCTATTTCTGTTTTGCCATTTATTTTGTTCTTTAGATTCTACACATAAGTGAAATCATATGATATTTGTCTTTCTCTGTCTAACTTATTTCACTTAGCATAATATCCTCTAGGTCTGTCCCATGTTGTTGCATTAATTTTCCATTTAGTTAACTTAAATTTAAATAGTCACACATGGCTAATGGCTACCATACTGGATAGTGCAGGTCTAGAGAGATGGGTGGACTGTGTCCTCCACACAACTCTCATCAACACTTGACAAAGCTTCTGAAGGTATGGTGTGGTCATGAGTTGGAGAAGACACTCTTTCTAAGAACTTGGAATGCAGAGACTCTTTGCTCACCAAGAACAGAGCCTAAGATCTTGTGAAAATGGGAGGTATCTGACAGGGATATGGAGGGGCTTGTGGGGCTGCCTGACCCACTCTGGGGGAGTCCACAGAGGCTGGGCTAAGGGCCAAGACTTTCATCTGAAATTAGTCCCTATGGTATCTGAGACTCAGGAGTCAGGGGTAGGGAGTCACCTCATTGCGCCGGTTCTGGCCAATAAACTGGGGGGCCACGTGTGCAGGCAGCACGTTCTCCAAGAGCAGCCGAGTCAGATTCTCCATTGTCTCTGTTTCCTCCCGCTCCTGCCTCAGCTTCTTCTTCCACAGGAAATCCAGGCGGCAATAATATTCATTCTGGGAGGGTCACCGGGAGCCATGGGGAGACACAGTGCAGGAGAAACCCCATATTCTGAGTGTTCATCCACCCACCACCCCCTACC